TTACTTTGGTGGTTATGTCATGATTATTATTAATATAACACTTTAATTATACACAAAAAAATATATTACGTTTTTATTTTTAAATTAAAATCGTCAAAAATGCTAAAATGTAATAACTATATATTAAAGTTTGTAAATTGTAACAAGTAGTTTTATTGGTGGGTTATTTATTGGTAACGTTTTATTTATTTATATGAGATGAGATGCCTCAGATAGGTATTATAGCCTGATATGGAAAAAAAATTTATATTCCAAGTTTAGGTTCCTTACCAAAGAAGCCTATACCTATTATGACTTTTAATAAGACTTAATAAAATTTAATTTCCTGTATCAAAAAATAAAATAAAACTTAATTTCCTATACCGACTATGAGTTTTGATAGATAATAACCGACTATACTAAGTCTATATAATATCAATTCCATTAATTAATTGGCAACAAAAACAAAAAAAGATCAATTAGGAGGAGTTAGTTATGGAGGGCTCTCCATATCTGAGTAACGATCTGTTAGTAGTTGAAATCCTGGTGAGATTGCCCGAAGAAGCTTTGCTCCGCCTTATGGCCGTATGCAAATCGTGGAAGTCCATCATAACCAGCCCCGAATTCTGTTCCTTGCACCTCTCCACAAACCGCCACCCCTCGAAAATCTTGCTCATCACACGAGACCGTGGACAGTTTAACCCCGATGATGACACGATACCCAAGCAGCGCTACTTGCTGCTTGACAACGACGAACATCTCCCTGCCGACCCTTCCTGGTTGGCCCCTTTCGATTTCCCCTTCGAATGCCCAAACACGATCTCTTACCACATACTGGGCTCCATCAACGGCTTGATATGCATATCCCTTATCCCATCCTATTTTTGGGTTGATGTGGAAGTCAACATACCCATTGTGCTATGGAACCCTACCATCCGCAGGTGCGTCTGCCTACCGGAACCCAACTTCAGCTACATGTATACCTCGTCCATCGAGTTTGGATACGACGCCACCACGGACGATTACAAAATCTTGGTCATTAGGAGAGTAGGCGGCAGTACTACTACTACTACTACTACTCCTGCCCTAGAGTTCCACATCTATTCCTTGAACTCACATGCGTGGCGCGGAGGTTTCAAAATGTGCCCTCCCGCCGGGACTGGAGAAAGAGGAGACCGCCGACTTTTTTGTGGCACGGACGCTTTTGCGGGAGGCAAGATGCACTGGCTCGTCTCCAATGAAATTAATTATGATGAGGTGGAGCTTGATGAGTTCGAGCTTCTTTGCAAGAGTAAGAGCCTTTACTCGTTCGATGTGGCGGAGGAGGTTTTTGCAGAGATGGCCTTACCGCCACCTGATGAGGTTGGCGTACAACCCGTGCTTACTGTAGTTAGGGACTCGTTGCATTTGGTACAGCCCACGCTTGGCTTGGAAATGCCAATTTATTGGACAATTTGGGTGAAGATGGACGCCGGCGGATCTTGTGATATGTACTGGAAGAAATTGTACAGAGTTGATGTTGATGTGACTGCTAAGTTTGTGTGTTTTTTGAAGAATGGGGAGTTGTTGATGGACATGTGCCCTCCTCACCTTGATGACCATGGTGTCTTAGCGGCATATGATCCGAGGGCTAGGCAGTTTAAGGACTTGGAGCCCTTGTCCCTCTCTCAACAACGAGCCGTTGGGAGTGTTCGTTCTTTTAATCACCAAGAGAGTCTCGTCCTTCTCGACCGCTAGCCGATGGACGACCCACACACTAGTTAGAGTACTTGTCAAGTTCAAATCATGAAATATTTGATCAACAAAGGTATAAGATTGTTTGGTGCACTTCTAAAAACTGTAACTATCAAGTGAAAAATAACTATAAAGATGTCTTCCATGTGATTTACATAGTTAGAGAAAGATGTTTTGTAACACATTCAATAATCAAGAGAAACTAAGAGGAACCACTAAAAATATTAGCTTCGCATTTATAGGCAAACTAAATCGATGCGGGTTTTGCCCAAGCTAACTAACTCGTTTCTTTACCTAGTTTAGAATATATGTAATATGTGTGCATTCATCATCATCTTGTGCACATGCACAAATGTACATAAAATATTATAAGTAATATGTGTGAATTTAATATTAAAATTATATATAATAAACATATCACATTTTCAAGATATGTGAATTTAATATTAAAATCCTAGATAATGGACATACCACATTTTCAAGAGTTAATCATTAGTAAAAATAAAATAATATTGATATAAATTATTTGAGTACATATGAATCACTATATTGATTAAAAACAAATTGTGAGTAATGTAATTTTTATAATTTGGAGGGATCATGGTTAAATAATTTACTTGAAAATTTTATTATTAATATTATTATTATTATTATTATTATTACTATTCTTATTACAACGACAATTGTTTATAAGATTTTAAAGTTCTTTTACTATACTATTAAAACTATTTACTAATTATTTTTAAAGAATTGTTTCATGAAATACAAAATTAAAATAATAATAATATTATTAATAATAATAATAATAATAATAATAATAATAATAATAATAAAATCTAATTAAGTGTAATCATGTATTTATAAAACCTAATAAATAAATTTACAAAAAAATTAGATTTACATCCACCAAAACAATAAGTATAGGTATTTCTTTTCCCCAATTATCGTCCTCTTTTTTTTTTTTTTTTT